AACATTAAATGATTTAAAGGCAGCGATTACGATAAAGAGGGAGCGCATCGGGGAAGCATATGCACCACACGAAGCAGTTACTTGGCTGCCAAGGAAGCGAGGTGTGGCGCTTTCACGACGAAAGGTGCGCTGGTTGCTGAGCAGGACTTCGAAAGCACTCCGCCCCCAAAAGCGATCCGCCCACTAGTTTAGTTGGTGATTTGGACGAGCTGCGTTGCCAGCAGCGGCACAACTGGAGCAACTCATGGAGCTTGGATTGCATGCCACCAAACACGTTGCGGTAAACTCGTCCATAAGTTCGACGCCTTAGCCGGCTTTGAGTGAAAATCAACGGCCAAAGGGAAGCCGTTTTGCGTTTTCTTTACGGGTTTCCCTGCTTTTTCACTGCCAGTAGCGTACCGCTGACCTCACCGCCCTCTCCGCCCCCCCACTTCCCCTTCAAAACCCTGCGCAAACTACCGTAATCGCGCAGTCTTTGATAAACCAATATCCAGAGCAGAACTGAAGTGTCACAGGAATACTACAATCTACCACATATCCTAACCGAAGCAACAAATCCATAAGATCAAGAAGATGGGTGTTTTTCAACTTGTTCCGAATTTTTTGGCTCAGTCTTATCACCAGCTGGAGCCTAGCAGCAAGTAGGGACATGGCGGACGAAAAGGGCCAGGTGTAGCGCCCAAAATGACTCTTTTCGATGGAACTGAACTCCAATGTTTGATATTTCTAGTGAGTTTATTAATCCCAACCACGTTATCCTTTATCCTTTGCCCTTTTTCACCGCAAACGCGCATTACATCCGACCATTCCATTCGCTGCCTCGTTCTATAGATCAAGTTTCAGTGCGTCCAGCTGAATGTGCCGTCGACTGTCGAGGTGACGGCTGAACAAACCAAACGACTTAACGGATCGCATTCTATGGCCACGGATTCCCGAATTGGATTATCGATCCATTCTCCGCAATTATAACCTCACATGGGATCAATAGACGAACGATAAAAGGGCCGGCAATCTCGTCTACAAGACGTGCGCAGCCGTTGAATCAGTGCTACACACCGCGTCACTTACATATGATTTATATAATTGCTCAAGAATGTCGTTGACTAATCGACACATCAATCGATATGCATCTAGAAGTCACGCTTGGGAATCTCAGACGCCGATAACGGCAACGAACTTTTCCTCTCAGTCTACCCTGAGATTTGAACCTGAGATCCTCGCGATTGCCCGAATGACCTAAAATGGACGACCGATGTTCACTTCTGGCTATTTCTTCGCTAATCAAGTACGATCTGCCACGGGTTCGGAAACCCAGGGTCAACCGTCCGATCGCAGGTCCGATTGCACTATCCGAACGAGGGGGTCGCATTTGTGATTTTGGGAAGGGGAGGGGGTCGCATTCGGATATTGAGAAGGTTAGTAACTATGGGAAAAGTGTGAACGGGGCCGTGAAAAGGGTGTTAGCTCTGGCGGGTGGCTCGTTTTTCAATGATTTTGACGTTTCTCTACCGAAGATCCACAGAAGTGACCTGTATCAAACAAAATTGCAGA